TCACTCACCTCTGCCTCACTCACCTCTGCCTCACTCACCTCTGCCTCACTCACCTCTGCCTCACTCACCTCTGCCTCACTCACCTCTGCCTCACTCACCTCTGCCTCACTCACCTCTGCCTCACTCACCTCTGCCTCACTCACCTCTGCCTCACTCACCTCTGCCTCACTCACCTCTGCCTCACTCACCTCTGCCTCACTCACCTCTGCCTCACTCACCTCTGCCTCACTCACCTCTGCCTCACTCACCTCTGCCTCACTCACCTCTGCCTCACTCACCTCTGCCTCACTCACCTCTGTCTCACTCACCTATGAGTGTGGTGAATGTACCTATGAATCACTAAGTTGAATAACTCACTAGTTACATCTAGCAGCTGCTTTTCAAACGGATAAATACATTTTAGTTGAAGCTGATTGATATTTAGAAGTAATTATTAAATTGCGGCAATATAATATAGCTGTTTCAGCGTTTATTAGGCCGGAGGCCTGTCGTCGATTTTTATCATTGCAGAACATCCACAGCTTGTTGTGGGCTTGAACTCGCAATTCACTGCCTCTATTTTGAAATAACACCCAGACTTGTCGCAAAACTGGCTTAGAAAGTATCGCAGCTGATGCTTTACTTGAAACTACAGAATAATAAGTAACAATAAAAGAATAAGTAATGTTCTACTAGGAACTGCCTTTCCAGCTTGGGACTCCGGTCGAGCCAAATTAAAACTTAGCCCTCTTATCCGCAGAGTTATTTTTGTTTGAGTCGCACATTCACTAAGTTATTGCAAAAGGTTCGAATTAAAGTTTATGCTCAGTCGCGTAACATTTAGCTTCACGATACTCGGCTTTGACTTATTATTTAGATTTACTTGATTCTCAAACTAGAAGAACATTTCAATGTATCGCTGAAGGTGTGCAAGACACTGCCTTCCTATCAATATATGTCGAATATTCTTAAACATGTTTTAAGAGCCGCTGCATCGTTACTGAGATTCTCATTAAAAACCGAAGTGGTTTTACCGCTGATCGCAGTGAAGTATATTTAGCCTTTGTATAGTACGTTATGCCAGAGACCAAACCGGAGCATACTGTATTATACCAGTAAAG